GGGGCTCTTCGCTCGGCGCGGGAGCAAGGCTGCGGTGGCCGGGAGGGAGCTCTGATTTCAGATGCTTGGTTCTCTGCCAAACAACTCAAACCTCGGGCTGCTCCCCGGAGCTGGTGTCTTTGGAAGAACAGCTCTTGCCTAAATGTTGATGCTTCTGTTCTCTGCCAGGCCCAGGTGTGAATTACTCCGGTTGTCAGATCACCTGGGCCAAGTTCTGCAAGGTACAACCTCCTCTCTTCTCCTGAGCACCTTCCCTTGGCTCTTCCCTTCCTCCAAGCCACGCTCACAGCCTCTCTGCCCTCCTCCTCAGGAGAACATGGCTGGCAAAGGCTTCTCTTTCTGGGTCTGGCTGGACAACATCATCGACCTGGTGAAGAAGTACATCCTGGCGCTGTGGAATGAAGGGTGAGCATCGCTCCATAGATCCTCGTTTGGGCTGGGCCTGGGCAGGGTCCCACCCTGCTGATGGAGCACAGCGCCTTGTCCACATGCAGGGGACTCTCTGGGAAGTGTTTTCTGTCTGTTGGCTTGTTCAGAGCAGAACCCCCCCAGGGATCCTTACACCGGGGGCTCTGCTGGTGGTTAGGCCAGGTCCTGCCTGCTTCATGCCCTGCCATAGCTGCCCCGGTATCCTGACCTCTCCGTGCTTCCTGCTGCCCAGGTACATCATGGGCTTCATCAGCAAGGAGCGGGAGCGAGCCATCCTGAGCACCAAGCCCCCGGGAACCTTCCTGCTGCGCTTCAGCGAGAGCAGCAAGGAGGGTGGCATCACCTTCACATGGGTGGAGAAGGACATCAGCGGTGCGTGGCTCTCCCTTCCTTAGCAGACACTTGTTCTTTGTCCCTGTCCTGGGAAGCCCTCTGCCTCGGTCGGCTCTCTGAGCCTCTGTGTCCTGCCCATGTGCCACCCGTGAGGTGCAGCTTTCCGTGGCACTGGAAGCACTTGGCACGTCCCTGTCCTACCCCGGGTCTGCTTGGGTGTGTGTGAGACCGAGCGTGGCCCCAGGCTGATCCCA